AACCCCGTCTCTACTAAAAACTACAAAAAATTAGCTGGGCATGGTGGCGCGTGCCTGTAATCCCAGCTACTCAGGAGGCTGAGGCAGGAGAATTGCCTGAACCCAGGAGGCGGAGGTTGCGGTGAGCCGAGATCACGCCATTGCACTCCAGCCTGGGTATCAAGAGCGAAACTCCATCTCAAAAAAAAAAAAAAAAAGAAAAAAAAAAAAGAAAAAGGGAAAACTTTAAGCAATAAAAACTGTAAGCCAGGTGTGGTGGCTCACACCTGTAATCCCCAGCACTTTGGGAGGCTAAGAAGGGAGGATCATGAGGTCAAGAGATCAAGACCATCCTGGCTAACCTGGTGAAACCCTGTCTCTACTGAAAATACAAAAATTAGCTGGGTGTGGTAGCATGTGCCTGTGGTTCCATCTACTTGCGAGGCTGAGGCAGGAGAATCACCTGAATCTGGGAGGTGGAGGTTGTGCCACTGCACTCCAGCCTGGGTGACAGAGCAAGACTTGTCTCAAGAAAAACAAAACGACAACCAAAAAAACTGTGATGGCAACCCTCTCCTCAAATTAATAGAAGGATCTGAAGACAAAGGTGAGGAAATCTCCCTGAGAATTCAAGAAAATATAAATAAATAAAACGTAAGAATAAAGAGATTAAGAATATTTGAAAATCAATCCAGAAGTTAAGGCATCAAATCCAGGTTCATCTATCTTTCTGGAATTCCTGAAAGAGAAAACAGAAAATTGTGGGAATGAAAATACGTAAGAAAAAAAAATACAAGAAAAACTTCCAAATTATCTGAATTGAAACATCTTCCCAGGTATATAGTACGATGAATGAAAAAGACCCAGGCCAAGGCCACACTTTTGAGAAATTTCACATGTACAATTTTTTTTTTATTTGTAATTTTTTCAAGACAGAATCTGTGTTCCCCAGGCCAGAATGCAGTGGTGCTATCTCTGCTCACTGCAACCTCCACCTCCCAGGTTCAAGTGATTCTTGTGCCTCCGCCTCCCAGTAGTTGGGTTTACAGGCACGCACCACCAGGCTAGGCTAATTTCCATATATTTAGCAGAAACGGGGTTTTACCAAGTTGATGAGGCTGGTCTTGAACTCCTGGCCTCAAGTGATCTGTCCTCCTTGGCTTCCCAAAGTGCTGGCATTACAGGCATGGGCCACCATGCCTGGCCAACATGTATAAATTTAAGTGATTATTAAATAACAATGAAAACTACTAGCTCTTAGTAATTTTTTTAAAAGTGATTTCATGGCTGGGCATGGTGGCTCACACCTGTGATCCCAGCACTCTGGGAGGCCGAGGCGGGCGGATCACGAGGTCAGGAAATCGAGACCATCCTGGCCAACATGGTGAAACCCTGTCTCTACTAAAAATACAAAAAAATTCACTCGGTGTGGTGGCACGCACCTGTAATCCCAGCTACTCTGGAGGCTGAGGCAGAAGAATGGCTTGAACCCGGTAGGCAGAGACTGCAGTGAGCGGAGATTGTGCCACTGCACTCCAGCCTGGCAACAGAGTGAGATTCTGCCTGAAAAAAAAAAAAAGTGATTTCACATACAGTCTCACTTTTAAATGGGCTTGAGGGGGGCCAGTGCTCTATGTCAGAGACATGGCAACAGAGAATAAAAACTTGCAGGATGTCATTTTTCAACCTTTCACAGATGAGAGAGCACAGTTCATTAATACATAGGTATGTTTGCATGTGAACATAAATGTGTAAGTGGACATGCTTTGGAATGTATGTCCAATTTCCTAAGCTAAGTGATTAGCTCTCAAAGATACAGTGCATGACTTCTAATTCCTTGCTGTTCCCTCAGATCAACTGAAAACTGCCTTGACTGGGTAGGTCTGTGCAGAGCTGACTGGTATGTGAAACAAGGCTGGAGAAAGGAGACATGTCATGAGAAGTGCCTTTTTTTTTTTTTTTTTTTTTTTGAGACGGAGTTTCACTCATGTTACCCAGGCTGGAGTGCAATGGCGTGATCTCGGCTCACCGCAACCTCCGCCTCCTGGGTTCAGGCAATTCTCCTGCCTCAGCCTCCTGAGTAGCTGGGATTACAGGCACGCACCACCATGCCCAGCTAATTTTTTGTATTTTTAGTAGAGACGGGGTTTCACCATGTTGACCAGGATGGTGTTGATCTCTTGACCTCGTGATCCACCCGCCTCGGCCTCCCAAAGTGCTGGGATTACAGGCTTGAGCCACCACGCCCGGCGAGAAGTGCCTTTTTTTAACTTGTTTCCCTAAACACCCTTGAGGTACAGTGAATACGGTCATCTTTTCTCACTGTGTGCTCATCTGAACAAGGTTTTAAATTTTGATATCTTCAGATTTCTACTGTTAGTTTTAGGCTTGGGGAGCCCTCTTCCCTTCCAATAGTGTAGCTCTAGAATTCTGTCAATAAACAAGATAGTGTGAATTAACTGAATTGACTGCATCAGTAAGGGGGGTATTCAGTGTCTATTTCCTCCATGCCAAGGGGAGCCAAGTGAGGTAAACTGAGCTAAGTGAAATGGATTGGCCAGACAGTCTCTTCACCACATCTTGGGCTTTGGAAGAATTAGTAAAAAATGGACACGGACAGAATGTAAACGGAAAGTTGAACAGCTTCTTCACCAAGATGGTGGGTTGTAGTTTCCTGCAGCCACACAGTCTGTGTTAAAACAGGGCTGTGGTTTTGAAGAGCTGTGCATTCTTAGCTGTTGCAGATTATACTGGGAATGGAAACTAAAGCAGTCAGTGGCAGCGACCACAACCCAGAAGCTGAAACCACGCTCTAATTTTATACAAAATTACTAGTTCTGGCTCTGTTCATTGCTTATGAGTTTTCATTTAGACTGCAAAGATTACATTTAGTTGTGTGTCAAATAACATCTTGAAAACTGACTGAAGAAAATGATTTAGCCCTCAGTCATTTGTACTAACCCACAAAATGTCAGTATAAACATTTTCTAATATACTGTAAAGATTCAACCTCTAGGATCAACAGTCAGTACAATTATAGGAGTGAAAAATGGAGGGAATAGCCAAAGCAGCTGTGACAAAAGAGGACGGACAAAAAAGATGAGGAGGAGGAGGAGGAGGAGGCAGAAAAATAGGAGAATGAGGAAAATTGAGTTTGCATTTAGGAAAAAAATATAGACTTACATTTATTTATGTGAATATCTTGCCAAATCTAGGAAGTAACAGTATATTAAAGAGAATGGTGACAGCTTACTGTAAAGAGAAGGCTAAACACCAACCTTATTGGGCCAATGTGTTATTGAGAATTGGCTACTAACAGCTTGAAAATGTTTGGCCTTTTCATCTAAAAAAAAAAAAAAACTACTCTTAGGCCAGGCACAGTGGCTCATACCTGTAATCCCAGCACTTTGGGAGGCTGAGGCAGATGGATCACCTGAGGCTGGGAGTTCAAGACCAGACTGACCAACATGGAGAAAGCCTGTCTTAAAAACAAAACAAAACAAAACAAAAAAAACTACTCTTTGTGGGAAAGAGTACTAACCTTTTTTTTTTTTTTTTTTTTATGAGACAGGTTCTCTCTCTGTCACCCAGGCTGGAGTGCACTGGTGTGATCATAGCTCACTGCAACCTCTGTCTCCTGGGCTCAAGTGATCATCCCAACTCAGCTTCCCAAGTAGCTGGGACTACAGGTGCATGCCACCATGCCTGGCTAATATTTGTGTTTTTGTAGAGACGAGGTCTTGCCATGTTGCCTGTGCTGGTGTAGGAGTTGAGTCAGGATAGTGGGAGAAATTTCAGAAAATGCAAACCTTCTTAGAAGGCTGGAAGGTTTTGCAAAAGCCTTGGGAAAGAGGTTATGGATGAAAGCAACCTAAGTCCCTTACCTTGAGCTAATATCTAGGAGTAGATACAAAGGAATGTAGAGGAGTTTATCTAAATAGCTTATTTACTCATGTGGTCCTAAGACCAATCTTTGATCTTCTTTGGGTGCATGACTGCTCTCTACTTGGGGGTGGGGGATGGTCAACAAAGTTAATTACCCTCTAATGGTGTTTACTTTGTCAAATGCCGCCGGAGGCTTATGGGGCAGCTGCTGATTCTGGGAGCAGAGCCCCTTAGCCATGCTGACAGGCAAAATATCTGTATCAGTCTAGTCTTTCATCTATTGCTCAGTCAGGGTCTGTGGGTTGGACCCAACGAGCTGGTCTTGAACTCCTGGGCTCAAGCAGTTCACCTGCCTTGGCCTCCAAACTGCTAGGAATAGAGGTGTAGCCACTGCACTCAGCCTAGAAAGAGTACTAATCGTTTGAATTAAAGTAGACTAAAATTCCAGTAAGAATTTCAAAGTGAAATTTGCCTTCTTTTATTTAGCCTCAAGTTTCTCAACAGTTGCCTATATCAGCAGTGAGAGTCAACATTTCTTTTCTATAACAACTGTGACTTATCACTTGACTTTATACATAGTATGAATTCCAGATAGTTATTAAAAATGAACACTAGTAAGTAAATGAATAGACAATGCTGGAGAAAACAGATTTTAGAATTATGAGTTCCTAGCCAGACTCAGTGGCTCATGCCTGTAATCCCAACACTTTAGGAGGTTGCAGCAGAAGGATCACCTGAGGCCAGGAGTTCAAGACCAGCCTGGGCCACATAGTGAGACTTCCATCTTTACAAAAAATTTAAAAATTAGCCAGATGTGGTGGTGTGCACCTGTAATCCCAGTTACTTGGGAGGTGAAGGCAGGAAGATTGTGTAAGCCCAGGAGTTTGAGGCTGCAGTGAGCTATGATCACACCACCACACTCCAGCCTGGGTGACAGAGTGAGACCCTGTTTCAAAAGAAAAAACAATGAGTTCTGCAAAGTTTTGATAGACCAAATAAAAGCATTTATATCAATCTGCACCATATTTTAAAGTTTGTACTCTGGAACCACAAACAAAAATTTCAGAAAGAACCTCCCAGCAGCACAGCTGAAATCTGTGTTTTGTTTGTAGGGCAAACACTGCACACAAAGAGGATGACATTTTAATGTAATTTATTTGAAATACTTCCAGAAAAGTTTAAGGCCGTTATACAAAAACATTCATTTCATCAAAACATTCATTGACTTTCTTACCATAGGCCAACATATGACAAACCTCTTTTCCCAGCACACTGGCTGATGGGTCCTACAAAGTGGCTGATGGCTCCTACAAAGAATCATTCATTCTTTTCTTCACCATTAAAAGGCTGTTCTTGGCTTTCCTCTGCTTCTATCTGCAGCAGGTTCACTTGCTGTATCAATAACAACTTGAGAAAACAAAGCAGTTTTAAATAAACTTGTGATAGAAAAAATTCACCATGTTTAAGATCTATAAATACAGAAATATGTTTTACAGGGTAAAACTGACAACAATATCTTTGTTTTTAAAAAATAATAAAGTAATATACCTTGTTTTTATATTGATATATCTTGTCACACAGCTTCTTTGAATGCACATGATATATGTACATAATAAAATGACATCAATGCATTTACTGCTTACTTTTCTGTAAACTTGAAAGACAGAAAATTAAAAAAAAATTTTTGGCAATAATTTAGAATCATTACTACTAGTGCTGGTGTGGGTATAATTTTGCACAGGACATTCTTAATATTTACACTTGCAGGGAGCTCTTCTACGTACTTAGCTTTTTTTAAGGTCTGCACTTTACCTTGCACTGTAAATCAAGGCTGGACAAAGAGGCTACTAATTTGGCTAGCTGATCCTAATTAATCAGAGTTAATGAAATTGGCCTCTGGAGAATGTAATTACAATTCTGGTTATAGCACAGAACCAGAGATGGCAAACTGATGACCCAAAAGCAGAGCAGGAAAGCCCAAGGCTCTGGCCTTTCTCAGAAGGCACTGGACCATGCTTTTCTCTTAATGGCTCCCATAGAAGTTTCTGATGAAATGCTTTTCATTCCAAATTATTCCGCTCCTGTGTTTCTGTAAACAGTGTCATTGGTAGAGTCACGGTCTCTCTTCCTTGTTCCTTCACTCATTCTCTAAAATGTGAGTAGGCCTAGGCAGATGAAACATAATGAAGACAGGGCCTTCTTGTTATCCTGGCAGGCTTCCCTAGGCCCTTTGGGTTCTATTCGGATGTTTTAGGCTAGCCACCAACTATGAGAGACACCTCCTGGTGCCACGTGCATTTCAGTTAAAGATTCAGAGCTGGCAGCTGCTTTTGTCCTGACCCTCTATTTTATGTCCTAATAAATTCTTGCATCAAACTTGCACTGGATTAAGTTGCAAGGTTCAGACAATGCATCCTCCTTTGCAAAATTAAGCCTTCAGAATGCCCAGGGATGTTTTCAAGCTTTCTAGTTGAATAAAATCAAACCAAGTTCACTTCATGGGTTGGTCTTTCCTGATTTTCTCTCTAGTACCATCCCGATACACAGGTGACTTTCTCATGCCCTATTTACAAGGCCCTCTAAATTTTTAGCTACCACATCAAAGAGCTGGGAAAGTGCTAGAGAAGCACAAGAGGAAAGACTCTTCAAGCAATTTATGTAAAACAGTAGTTTCGGGATTGTTTTTCTATTTTTTTTTTTTTAATCCAGCAGGACAATTGAAAGTAACTTGTTTGAGTACCTCTCCATCCATCCAAACACTTGGGAAATATAACGCAGGGTAACGGTTGCCACAGATTCCAGCTTACACAGACAGGCTGGCAGTTACAGTACTAGGGACAAAGGTACAGATACAAGAGACTGGGCCAACATGGTCACAAAAGTATTAAAAAGTGCTTTTCCAAACCGTTCCATCTGCGGAATGCAAATACTGTACAGGTAAGATGCAGGCCTGCTTCCTGAAGTGTGCATGCTTCTGTCAGACGTTGCTTTCAACATGCCTGCTGTTCCCACAGGAAGAGTCTGTCTGTTCCATGCGCTCACAGTCGAGGCTGACCTCACTGGTGTCCATACTACAGTCTGACTCACTGTCTGATTGGTCCATCTGCTCAAGTTTTGTTTCTCCCTGTAGCTCTCTGCTCCCAGTGATGGGATTCAGGAATGATCCCTCGGAGTCAAGCACCCCAGCCTGCCCAGCAGCACACAAAACTGTTTCTTTGGCTTGACGAATACAGTTAAGCCACTGCTGTTTGTTGAAGGTGTCATTGGCTTGTAGTGAGTGGGTCTGACTTTGGGATCCATTCTTGAAACTGATTCTGAAGAAGTTTTTAACTAGAAAGGAAAAACACATGAAAAACAGTCAATGGACAGATCCTTCCTCGGGCCAAAGAGAACGTATGTAGTGACACTAAACCCCAGAATCCACAGCAGGTATTGCTGATTACAAAACGTTTCCCAGTGAGCCAGGATATGGCTCAGCTCCACCCTGCAGCTGCCATCAGGGAGTTGGGGTTGACACAGGTCTAGCGTTCAGCTGCCCTCATTACTCTCAGAAACTAGCAGGTAGAGATCATCGTGGAAAAACAAGGTCAAGTGATTCAGGGGAGCCTGGAGTACTGGTGGCAAAATCTGGCTGCATAACAAAATCCCTTGGAGTGAGCTTGTTAAGACCGGGCGCGGTGGCTCACGCCTGTAACCCCAACACTTTGAGAGGCCGAGGCAGGCGGATCACAAGGTCAAGAGATTGAGACCAT